ACCTGCCTAATATTCCCCTTTTGCTGTCGAAACAGCCCTGGCCCATCGAGGCATGGACTGGTTTCTTCACCAAGATGTTAGCAGCAGATGATTTAAGTTGTGGGGTGGGCCCTCCATAGACTAGTTTGTCATGGAGAATTGGCGAATTTATAGGCCAGGTCAACACCTTAAACTCGTTGTCAAATGCTTTTTGTTTTGTGACAACGTGCAATATCCTGCTGAAAGAGGCCACAGCCGTTAGGGAATATTGTTTGCATGAAAAGGTGTACACAGTCTGCATAGGTAAGTGGTACGTGTCAAAGTAACATCCAAATAAATAGTAGGACCTAAGGTTTCCCAGAAGAATATTGCCCAGAACATCACATTGCCTCCACTGGCTTTCCAAGTAAGCATCACACACACCTGAGTTTGCACTTGATATAAAAGAAAGCATGATTGCTCTATTGTTCCATGATCCAGATCTTGTGACCTTTGTTGGCACTTTCAGCGGTCGACAGGGCCCAGCATGGGCACCCATACGGAACAAATTGCAATGCATTGTGTATTCTGACACCTTTCAATCAGAAAGATTGTGTTAAGGCTAATTGTTAAATTTAAGTCTCTGAACACTTGTTGCCTGTACTTTAAGTAGTATAAACACAATGCTAAAAACCTCCATGTACCAACCTGCAATTTATATTTTCATCACCAGACACACTGACAGCTTATTATGACACAATTTTATTTATTTTATTGCTAATTTGCTGGTTCACTGAAGGACCATTCTGACACGTCCTAACACGGTAAACATTAATGTAAACAATCCAGTTAATTAACGCTGTTTTATTTATTATTTCCTAACCATTCCAGTGAGCCATCACAGCACCAGGCCTTGGCCTCTGCCGATCTAATTAATGTTAATAATTACACCTGTGTTTACCCTCCAATGACTGCATGACAAAACAGCTAATGTGAAAAGGGCCTATTTGTTTTTCAAGTACAAAACTACTTTGTTTTACTATGAAACTTTTGCTGTAACTGCTTTCATACAGCATTCAAGTGGACAGCACTCACAGGCACTGCACAACTTCCATACATGCTTGAAATATATGTAACAGAAAACCACGACATGTATTCTCCTCTATTCTTGCTGCATCCAGTGTGAGAGGAAGGAGCTTTAAAGTCTCACAGTATTTGAGTGCAGCCTGTAGGTGGAGTTTGTGGTGATAGATGGTTCGCTAGGCAACAAGACAAGACCTTTATTATGTTGCAGTTGGAGACAGAGCAGTGGCTTAACAGTTAAACCTGAGCAGGTGTTATTCTCACATACCTCACTGCTGTGCTGGTTTTCTATCTGTGTCATACTTTGGTGAAATTGAAGTTTTGCTAAGAAGTCCTAAAAGACTTGCGAGTCCACTTTGGGAGGCACAAGCATTAGGTTAAGGCTCTAGGTGGATGTGAGAAGCTAATGAAAGTGGGGTATATCTAGCCAGCAGAGAGGTGAGTTGTGCCTGGGGCAGGATGCAGCAGCTTAAGAATTGTAATTACAGCATTATGGTGGAGGTTGACTGGATTAGGGCCCCGGCAACAGGCTGAGACCAGGATAGAAGGCCAGGAAATGGCCATGGACTAGATATTATTAGCCTTGGTTGACAGCTTAAGACCATGCCTGTCAACACACTGCTTCTTCTCCCTTACTGAGTACTCAAGGTCAGGGAGATGCTGATGTGCAGGCAAAAAAAACAACATTTGTGCACAAGTCTGCACTTCCCACAGATGTATTTAGAACACACAGACACACACACACACGCAGATATGCAAGTGCACTGCACATTAAAGCATTGCCTTGAACACACAAACGCACATGCATGTTTAGCGAGTCCAGCGGGAGGGGAGCAGCTCCCGATCTCAGTGTAAGTCGCAGAGCTCTGCCCTCTCCCTCTGTCAACACGATAATCCACTCTGAAAATGACTAGATTAAAACACATTAAAAACGTGATAATATGATGAGACCCGGTGGTAAGAAAGGGCTAAACATCACTGAAAGACTTAAAGGAGCAAGCACACCTTTAGAAAAAACAAAACCCCCCCAAAAATTAAAATAAAGAAATCGGCGTCTTCGCCAAGTTGCCCAATTGATGTTAGAATAAATCGGCTTGCTGTGATATCACAAAGCAGTTTTCTTTCTCCATTTCATTATCAGAATGTTTCCAGAATTGCCCATCACAACAGGATATCTTGACAACGGAATATTAGTTGGTGGCAAACTGTGCATGAACGTGTCACAGCTTTTCGTAGAAACCTGCACCACTAAATATTCACAAGTGTGTTAGCAGAGGCAGCCGGAGCTAAAGCATTAGCATGCACAGAAGCAGATTTAATTAATACTGAATACACAAAGATTAAATTGCTGCAATTTTGACTTTGTATTATGTTTATTCCAATGTCTGTTTGCCATAGAAGCCAGTAAATACATTTCACATAAACCTGTCCGGCTCTTAGAGATAGAGGGGACTTGGTATTCCTTCTGAGATCTATTCCACTCAGTGCCTTCTGTACATAGTTTTCATATCACTTTGGTCCTTAGCTGCTCTCTCTGTTCCAATCTTTCCACATATTTCCACCTACCTCTTACCCAAAACCTTCCATCTTAATTCTGTCAAGCTCATGACAAGTCTCTGGCTGATCTGAGACAGATTAAAAAGTGCAGAGTGGCTGAATAAAGGAGAGAAAAGCGAGTTAAATAAATCTTCATTTCAACAATTTGAACCTTATTGAGTCTGAATCATCTAGGGACGTGCTTTTTATTAAAAGGCTGGCAGTGGCCGCGGCTCTGATTGTAATTGCGTTGACCCAGCCCCCCCACCCCTGTTTCACGCGCACTCGTGCACGCTTCACTCCGACATCTTCTCTTATCAACACGCTGTCCCGATAAAGTCTTGTGCTTTCAACCTCATTAAACCTCTCATTTATATTAAACAGCCGATAAGTCCTTCTACCCCGGTATGCATCTCCCAGGACGCACAGCTCCCGCAAGGATGTGATTTTTACTGCATCCACAATTCACCAGGGCCGCAGCTCCCACACCCAATAATTCTCCCCCTTTTTTTTTTTTTGTAAAACCTGTCATTTGTTCACAAAAGCCTCAGCAGCACATCCTCTTCTTTTCTCTCCCCCTCGTCTCCATCCTGCTCCTCTGTCTCCCTGCTGCTCTTGTTGTTACATTTTTACTCCCCTTTTTCTTGGCCGGGAGCCAGCAGAGTGTTGTGAGACATCAATATTAGCTGGGGCCTCTTGGTTTAAAGCGTGCTTTAGAGTATAGAGTTGAGCCACGCTGGACTGTCTAGCTGCAAGGGAGCTATCTGTAATAGGTCCTGTACAGAGAGTTCTTTTCCAGTGGATTCCCCTGGCTGCCCACAAGCTGCTATAAAGAACTGTGAGAAATTAGGTTAATACCCAGGTTTTATTTTCTTCTATCTGCTTTTTATTTTTCCCTATCTACTCCCAAACTCTTGGTTTGGTTGTTTCTATCCTAAATACCACGTTTGACAGGCTCTTGGCTCTTGAATACTCAAGAATATCTGTGTACACTGGTCCCAGACGATCCACTAACCATGTTCAGCTGTCAAGACTGACATACACTGACTGTGAGTGGGCTCAATAACCACCAGTGCAGCACATTGACCATGTGGCAAATGTCACTGGTCCATTTACTAGGGCTCATTGTTAGAGAGAGCTATCTATTGGCCTATGGGAAATCCATTGAGCTTTATCCAGCTCTGACTACTGCACGACCCGTTTCACACTGCTGAAGCAGAAAATACCGAGATGTAACCTGAGATTGATACTGAAGCACCGGTTCTATGTTTTTGGTGTATTGGTGGCACAGCACTGGGATCCATTCTACTGACCCATTTTTATGTGAACACCATGTGTGTATCACCTTGTAATCCTATATTCACAAACTGAAATAGAAGGAATAATACTTACACTTTACATTCTTCTATAGTTAAAAAAAATGACCTACAGCTTTATTGAAATGTATTGTTTAAAGCACAAGTTGTTCCTTTCTGGCTGTTTTTATGTAATGAAATATCTTTCTATGATAAATGTGAGCGGAGATCTTAGCATTAATATCAAGTAAAAAAATTTAGTGCTTATCAGAGTTTGCTAATGACAAAATACCTGCAGAAGTATTACATAGCTACATAGCACTTTGTGTTTCCTGCTAATCCTAGTTAGCTAGTTAGCGAACACTGATATGCTAAAACCAATGTTGCTTTTCTTAAAAGTTATTCAGTAGAGTATTTATTTACTTGATGGAAAAAGTACTTTGTTAAATCACTTGTTATATTACTTTGCCGTTACTCTGTAAAATGACTTGAAACATGTTGTCATGTAATATAAACCATATGCTATAGTTCCACATGCAAACACAAAATTCCGGATTCTGGGCTAGCTTAGCGTTAGCATGCTGTCTGTGCAGATGATCGCAAAGTGCTGAAGTTGTGTTAGCTGAATGTAGCATAAGTGCGCAGGAGGAATTTTTTTTTCCATTCTATTAGTGGTGTACAGATAACCGAAGAACCTTTGTAACTCAAGTAATGACATAATTGTAACTACTATGATGATAATTACTCAGTTTAGTACAGTAACATGTTACATTACAGTTAAGTGTTACTTTGAATGTGTTACACCCAAAACTGGTTAAAACTAAGATGGTGATTGGTAGCTCCTTCTTTATCACATCTTAGCATTGCAGCATTTGATTGTTCACGCTTGTTAGCATGTTGTCCTGTATTTGATGAGAAAAAGCAACAACAACAAAAAAAAATACTAATTTGACTCAGTTTCTTTTTTCAGTTTACGAATACTGTAAATACAATACATGATCCAAAAAAGTCACAGATTTAGAATGTAATTGAAACCTAAATCTGCACGTTACTAGTTTAGATTAGGCAGTGTGATTGTTTGTCTGTCTGATGAGTTGTAAGCAAGTCTTTTCTCCCCGGTCCATGTAGGAAGTCCCTGGCAGCCCTTCATTTTTGGAGCATCCTCTTAACTCTATTCTGGAGAGCCATGAACGACGGATCTCCAACACTCTCTATGAAACCACAGAGGGCCCAGACAGCGTCTCCACTCCACGAGCTAATACGATCGGACGCATTGGTGAGTGTAACATGTCAACACGTTTATTTCATTTTCCCTTTCTTCACCTTTATGTCTCTTTCACCTTCTGCTAGATAGAAATTACTCCACAAATTGGATTTATTTTTTGGCCAAGCTCTCCTGATTTACCCTGATGGGAACTCGGGTTGAGTTGTTAACCTCATGTACACTGAATGTATTTTCTGACATGCCCAGATCAATTTTAACATTAGCCAAAGCACCTCTGAAATGCATCGCCTTCACACCCTCACCCCCCACATCACATTCCAAGGTGTGCTGTTTCACTCTTTAAACCTCCCAGGGATTAATGTCAGACTCAATCCTCCCCACCTTCACTTCGCTCCTGACTGGTTTCACTTGGGTCAATTTCCATTCTGCCCAGATGACATCACCAGGCTGAGATCTCGGCTCTTCAGATGTATTAGAATTGGCAATTCAATCCTCGAGTAATCACTGCTGTCATCTCAGTATCAGCAGACCTTTCTCATATGCGTGCGTGCAGAAGCTGAAGGTGACTGCATCAGTGTGGGGAGGGCGTTATTCTGGGAAATGATGAAGTTTAGGCAAATGTATCTACAGCATTTTTCATCCTTCATTCCTTTTTACACCTCTTTTTCACTCTCACCTTCCTTAACTCGCTTTTCCCTCACATTATCTTCTTTATCCATATTATGCTTCTTGCCCTTTTGTCTCCTCCTTGCCCAATCAACTGTCTCCTCATGATCTCTTTGTCTTTAGTCTTTCTCCTTTGTCACCTATCACCCCGTCATCCTTCTGTACACTCTGCAAAGTGAATTTGTAATCTATCACTGATCTACTCTTTCTTCCTTTCTGCCCTTCTCTCAGTCATTCTCCTGTTTCTTTTCTATAACCTCCCCACCATCCCCACCCCAAGAGTGGTGCCACACTGCCACTGATCATAGAAGATCAGAGACTGTGTCAGAAGCATCTGATGGTTAATTAAGCTTTCAGATCAATAGGGCTTGCCCCTGACACTCTCGCTCCCTCTGTCTCCTCTTCTTTCTTTTTATCCACTCTTTCATCATGCTTTTCTCCTCCAGCCCCAATCAGATGTTTTCAAATTGGTTGGGTTTTTCTCTTACTTTGACTTATTTATTCCACTGGCTTTTCCAGTGCAGGTTTTTCAGAACACTGCTCTGATCATGAGAAGCAAAACTGTGGGGGCACTGATGGAAATGTTTTTTTTTTTTTTGGGCGATTGAAACCTCAAGGGTATGTAGCTCTCATCTCATTCTGAAGAGTGGGAGTCAAATGAGCCAAGTGGAAAAGTTTTCGAGGTGGGGGCGGAGTAGGTGCTAAAGCAGTAAGTTATCACAGCTAAAGCTCAGCTGGGTCTCAGATCTTTGACTCGGCTTGTCTCGCTGCAAGAATATGCCATTTCCTTTTCTTCTGTGTCTTCGGGCTGCCTCTGAGTCACGTCCTCGTTAACCCATGTCTACTTTCTCTGACATGTCTTCATCTTTTAAACTGACAAAATTCTGTTATTTAAGTCTACTGCGCAGTAACATTTATTCCTATTTATTTTTGCAACACAACACAGCTGCTGTGAAAAGACATGTAGCTCCGAAGAAGTGCTACAATAAATATGGTACTCCATTCAAATCAATTAAATTTTATTTATACAGCGCCAAATCACAACAACAGTCGCCTCAAGGCGCTTTATATTGTAAGGTAGAGCCTACAATAATACATTCAGAAAAAACCCCAACAATCATATGACCCCCTATGAGCAGCACTTTGGTAACAGTGGGAAGGAAAAACTCCCTTTTAACAGGAAGAAACCTCTGGTAGAACCAGACTCAGGGAGGGGCGGCCATAAGCCGCGACTGGATGGGGTGAGAGAAGGAAAACAGGATAAAAGACATGCTGTGGAAGAGAGACAGAGATAATAACAAGTGTGATTGAACGCAGAGAGGTCTATTAACACATAGTGGGTGAGAAAGGTGACTGAAAAGGAAAAACTCAATGCAGCATGGGAATCCCCCAGCAGTCTACACCTATTGCAGCATAACTAAGGGAGGATTCAGGGTCATCTGGTCCAGCCCTAACTATATGCTTTAGCAAAAAGGAAAGTTTTAAGCCTAATCTTAAAAGTAGAGATAGTGTCTGTCTCCCGAATCCAAACTGGAAGCTGGTTCCACAGAAGAGGGGCCTGAAAACTGAAGGCTCTGCCTCCCATTCTACTTTTAAATACTCTAGGAACAACAAGTAGGCCTGCAGAGCGAGAGCGAAGTGCTCTAATAGGGTGATATGGTACTACAAGGTCACTAAGATAAGATGGGGCCTGATTATTTAAGACCTTGTATGTGAGGAGCAGGATTTTGAATTCAATTCTGAATTTAACAGGAAGCCAATGAAGAGAAACTAATACAGGAGAAATATGCTCTCTCTTTCTAGTCCCTGTCAGTACTCTTGCTGCAGCATTTTGGATTAACTGAAGGCTTTTCAGCGAGTTTTTTGGACATCCTGATAATAATGAATCACAGTCACACATTGTCCTTGAACGACACCTCATATTGTATGTTGCACCATATTGGATACTTAAAACCCACAGCATACACCATATGGACAAAAGTATTAGGCCACGCCTCTTTGAATTCAGCTGTTTTCTGTTCCATTGCTACAGCTTTATAAAATCAGATATTCCCCAATCACCCTGTAACTGCCACAAATTTGCAGACCTGGTAATGTTAGAGAGCGGGGTCACTGAGTGCTCAAGTTCATAGTGCATAAAAGTTGCCAGTTCCAAACCTCCTCTGGCCTTAACATCAGCACAAAAGTGTGCTAGGAGCTTCGAGGTATGTGTTTCCATGGTAGAGCAGCTTCTGTAGGTGTAATGTGCTTTTGTCCATATAGTGCATCTTCTTAGATTATTTATTTTATTAATATTAATAATAATAAAAAAAATACAATACAAGTGGAAAATATCTGTCCAGCCAAAATCCTTTCATACGCAAGCTGAAAATGTTTGTTTTTTTTCTGAGCATTTCTTCTTGGACAAGTCTCCTGTCTTTACACTTGGGAAATCCCAATTCCCTCTTGATTTTGAAACTTGTTGTTATGTTGAAGACATGTTGATAGATGATGCATTTATCTTCTTCTTTATTTTCATTTGCCCCGACAGCCCCATGAATATTATTTTAGTTGTGAGTGGGCGTCGTAATTGGAAACTGTTCCTGATTGCTCACTCTGTCGCTGAGGAACTGAGTGCAGTGGTTCATGTTTAAACGTCTGTCAGTCTGTGACCACTTTTGTCAAAACACTAACGTCAGAACTGTGAACTATAGTGTTGAGTGCTAATGTAATCATGTAGAAATGTGTGCTCTGTACTGATGACTTAGAAAATCAACTTGTTAACAGTCATCACAGCTGATGGTTCCCAGTGCAAAACCGTGTCTAGTTTTCTCCCGTGTACATGCTGATTTCGTGGGGGGTTAACGCCTGAAGTGTAGTGAGGAAGTCAGATCCTGGATGGCAAAAAACAGGATAAGACTGACGTCACACTCTAATCACAATCCATAATAATGCGTGAGCATCTGTAAGAATACAAAAAGCCAGGGTAGAGATTTCATGTCATTTTAATTCTGTAAAAAGAAGTGATGCTTCACTGTCCTCTCTGATTTGTCCATAAATAAGTGCCGATGGCTTACTGTTATCCACGGCCCTTCATGACCTTGGAAATGATTTAATGTCAGCAGTGTCGTTATTTACTTTGGAGGCAAATAGCATAAATATTCCTGACATAATCTTACACACGTAAATTCATCTGCCATGCAGACAACAGCTACCTACTTTAATTTAAATGAAGGCAACGCATAGTGTTGTGAAAACACGTGTGAAGCTGTCACAGTGAAGTGCATTCATCGGTGTTGATGGTAAATGTCTGCGGGTTAGACAGAGAATAGCTGTTTTTGCTCCATCTTCTTCTGCTTGTTATTTCATATGGGGCTCAGACATATTGCCTGGTGCGTGAGATGTGACAGTTGTGGTTAGGCGACAGATATCGAGATTGGCTCAGCAAGGTCAGCAAGCATACAGCCGCCAGGGCTTGACTGACAACTTGATTTTGAGTGCATCTAACCTGCTAAATTTCTGAATCATGAAGGCCAGAGGTGTGGAGTTTGGGATATGGTGCGGCGCACTTAGTGCATTACCTACAAACTAAAAAGAACTACACGCTCGCGCAGAACCTCTGCAGCTGCTTCTACCCACTGATGTGAGCTGTGCATTCCCCTTTGGAGCAAACGGTGATTACAGACAAAACTCTGAGGCATTCCATCTCTTAAAAGACAAACAAAGGAACTCTCTAACCAAATCAAGCACTCTCCTCTGATGCTCCACTGCATTACGCTGCCTGCGCCTCTATAAATGAATCGAGACACAGAGGTAAATGGGATGGAATGGTTTTGCTGCTCAAGAATTAAGACCTGACTGTGATTGCGAGTTATTGCAGATGGCAGCAAGTCAATTCAGTGAAAATGTAAACTCCATATTTCTGCCAAGCCATGATTGTTGTTGTCGTGCTCTCTGTGTACTGTTAAAAAAAAGAGCAAATAGCTGCAATGCTCCTCAGATGCCTTATCTCACCTTACCTTAAGTATTGATCAGAAACCTGGCTCTCTAGTCTACACCCCATATTCACAGGCTGCCTTTCTTCTGAAACACGAGGAAAAGGCCTTGAGTCTCTGGGGTAATTGGTGCAATTGAATGAAATTATAGGAATCATAATCATGGCAACAGCAGAGACATGCTCACACAGGAGACAGGTGCTATTAAGCTAGTATAGTGCCATTACATTGATCATGTGGACACTTTTGCTGTGATCTTGCCTGTAGTATTTTGGGCTGTCATTCAGGACTGTCTGCTTGGTGTGCAATTCAGCTGATCAATAGTTCCAGGTAGTCCCATTCTTGGATTGTTTCAGTAAGCCGTGCAGCTCTGTGATGCTGTCAGCGTTAGCTTCACACGTGCATGAACAC